GCACACTGCTGCCTCATGGTCAACTTGTCGTCCACCATGACACCCAGGTCCCTCTCCGCAGAGCTGCTCTCCAGAAGGTCGGTCCCCAGCCTGTACTGGTGTCTGGGGTTATTCCTCCCCAGGTGCAGGACCTTACACTTGGCCTTGTGGATTTTAATGAGGTTTTTTCCTTCCTGAGGCCTTCGGTGATGTTGAGGAAGGCAGAAATTTAAATTGTATGAAGATGCGAGTGAAAAAGGAGCGCTGCTGGAGTCTAATGGAGCAGTTAATGATGCTCTCTAGACATGGAGAAGTAGGAGTTTGTTCCTGCTCCTCCAAATGACTGATTTCAAGTGTAGAAATACCCAGTGGCATCCTAGAATTCCTTTTTAAATAAATAAGTGCCCTGACCACTGTGTTATAAAAGTATAGATATATTTTTCTATGACTCTTGGAAAACTGAAAAAAAAATCAATGGGAGGGGTTGGAGAGATTCAAAGGACTGTTCTTTGAAAAAAATCCTGCAGATTTGTAGAGCTTCCTTAGAAGTTTTGTAATATAGATTTAATTCCTCTCTGTCAATGAACCAAGGTCTTAGACTGAACAAGCAACCTAAGCACTGTTGAGTGACACCAACAGGAGAGAACTGATGAAAAGTGCTCCTGCTACCTGCTTGCTCTGTGTTTTGCACTTAGTCTCGTTGGTTAAACAGACTCTCAATGCACCTAAAAGTTTGAACCTTAGTGCTGAAGAAGGACAATAGCTGAATTCCGATGCACTTAGATATGAGGGAGCATGCAGCTGCTCAGCACATTCAAGACAGGATGCCTGGACATGCCCCAAAACAGGACATCAAAAACTCACCTGATCCTCAGGCCCTTTACTGGAACCTTCATCGAAACCACATGCAACGGTGTAAGGTGGGAATGGTTCTGACCAATATGCCTCCTCTGTACAGTTTCTTTGAAGGGTGCCTTCAGTGGTAAAATATATTAGAGAATGAGCTGTGGATTTTTTTTTCATTTAATTGTTGACAAGAAACAACATATTTCTATTCCTTTGTCAGTTCTTAAGTTAGATACTTACATGTCTAGTCATACTCAGCAAGATTAGCTTTGGAAAATTAGTATTATTCTATATACCAATCATGTGAGAAGTTGAGACAGTTGTTCCCATTCCTTTCAAGATGTAAAGGAGCATCTATATTTCTTATAGAATATTCATTCTGTGCATTCAGTCTTCATACGGAGTAAACTAAATTAGGCAATTTATTATGCAGCTGCAACATAGTTTGTGCCCGTGGACAAAGCCCTGAGCTACTTGATCTAGCTTTGAAGTTAGCTCTAGCTATTATGACTCTACTCTGATTAGATGGTAGGGCTAGATGGGCTCCAATGCCATCCCTTCTAGTACTATTCTATGGCTGCCTAAGTCAGTGATTCTACGATGTACAAATATGCAGTTTTAAACCACAGTAACCTAGTGTTATTACACTTTTTTTTTTTTTTAGTCCACCAAAGAGTCTAGATAATTTCATGCAACATAAACACAACAAAAGAGTGCCCGCCTTGCATTGACCATAAGCTCAAGTGCCTGTCAGTATATTGGCTGGCTTAAGGTAGCATGATGAGCCATGAAAATACATGTATTGGTGAACCTTCATCTATAATAATTTATTTCAAAATATCTACAGATGAAAAAAAAAATCTTGCCATGGATATTGGTGATTTCTTCAAAAAATCCTGGACAGGGAACTTTAACCATTTCCCCAAAAGTGGCTCTTGGCCAGCAACTTAGACCATCCCAGTCTCTGGAGCATCCTGAAAAACAAACAAGAAAAGAACCCAACAACTCTAAATAAGAAAACTGATACAGAATATTACACCGCTGATTTTCTGTAGCAAGATTTTTTTATGTCTTTCCCACTAACTTGCATGAAGAGTCACAACAGCACCTGCAGCTCTGTAAATGAAGAATTGCATTGTTTTCCTCTTTTTCTTGAATGCATCATCTCTCACATACCCGCTAAGCATTCTCCCACCTTCTCTTATGAGACAACGCACAGAAAATTAAAGCAGACAAAATCTGAAAGTCAAATCAACTGGAGCTCTTTCCGTCATCAAAACAGAACATAAATGACCAAAATAAAAAATGCAGAATAATCATTAGCACTTGAGATTTCTCATTACTGGATTCAGAGTCTGAATGAAAAGCATCAGACTTAAAAACTCAGCTTTCCCCTCTTAATTCCATGCTGATGGTCTATCAATTCCACCTGGCTTAAAGGAAGTAATAAAGAGATTGAAATCTTGATCTCGCACAATCAACGGTGTTTTATTTATTTATTTATCTATTTATTTATTCATTTATTGCAGTGGGCTTCCACAGAGATTAGATTCACCCTGACATGAAAGATCATCTCTGAGCATCCTCTGAAATGAGCATCAGCAAGAGTATTTCTGACGGGTTTGCATTCAGGAGATGCCCTAAACCAGAGGCTGCTGGTTGATGAGACAGGGCACAATACTAGCTATGAGTCTGATAACAAGTGATTTCAGAAGAGAGAGTTAATCACAGCTCTGTCACTGAGGCATCGTATTGAGACTCAAGCCGCGGTCATGCAGTGTTTGCTGGTAAGTAGGAGTGGGTGCCACACAGAAAAATTATCAGTACGTAAAGGTGCCCAAAATCATAAAAAACAGCACTGTGCTGCAGCAGAAACTAATCTCTATGTAGTCGTAAGGCAGATATAAAACAGTGCATGGGTTTCATTTGGGAATGTTGTTTTGTTTCACCGATTCTTTTTTGTTTCTCTGTGACTGATGACAAGGCAAATCTAAAATTGTCCACAGTTGAAATGTGGAAGTAATATTGCTTTTCTGTATCTACGCAAAGTTACTCTCTGCCTTCCGAAAAGATAGTACTGGGAATCTCCCATAGGAGTGCATTCACCATTGGGAGGATGAAATTCCTGGTATCCCCAAATTGCCAGATGGGAAAACAGGAGCCTAGATTCATTATCCTTAATTTTAATTGCCTATAATATGTTACCTAATCTAAAATATGTTCCTACTTTAATCAGAAGAAAGAGACAGGGACTTCTAGAAGATGATTCATCCCATATATTGGCGGCTCCTTTCTGAGGATGGGATGAATCACTCGCTGCGTGAACCGAGGTGATTATAGCCTGAACTAGGCTGCTAATATTTAAATATGACTGAAATTAAGTAATGGGTGTCCCACCAAGCCATGCAGTGGCCCAGTCTCTTAAGAGACTTTAATACCTAAAGGGACCTTCTTACAGGGACTAAAACACCTCTAAAGGGCTGGACCTGAAAGGCAAAGCAAAACAAAACAGAACAAAACAAAACCGAACCTATTTGAGACTGCGGAGTTAAACAAGAACAGAATCAGGTAACATTATGTGGGAGTTGTACCTTGATGCTTTAAGTCCCAGATCTGGCTTCATTTCCAGAGGCTGCTAAAGTTAATAGCAGGGAAAACACAGAGTGCAGAGGCAGCAAGAACATCTCACCCACTGAGATATTCAAGAGTCTGATGATTGGGACATACCACCTGAGACTCCATTAAGACAACTGCAGTAGGGTTTGCATCAAGCAGTGTCAAGTAGTGTTGGTATTGCAGATACCAACAGATTCAGTCACCCGGGCCTTTTTTTTTTTTTTTTTTCCCCCAGACAATGGAGAAAAAAAAGCATTTTTAGAGCCTGTTTCAACTGGCCTATTTTTACATGTCTTCTTCAAGATGAGAGGAATTGCACCTTGGACTCTACTGATGGCACTCATCACACAGTGCTCTGCACCTAGCACCTAGCTTAAGCCTAGTTTAGGCTAAAAAGTCTGCAACATAGGTGAATTCCACCTCCGATTCTCTGCAGCTACTGGGAAGCAAATCTTTAAAAATCTCTTATAGTGCCTCATAGGCAGCTCCTGAAAACTGATCCACAAACCTGGGACTTTTAAAAAGTCTTGGTCTATTTTAAAAATACAGTAAGCAAAATGATGGTATGAATTGTTTTCCCAGATCTAATGATTTTTTTTAATGTATTGAGAAAGACAAAAGGTATTTGCTAAAGTCTTTTTATCTCAAGCAGAAAAAAGGTAGAAAGGAATTATATCATTTCTTTAAACACTCTGAAATATTTGGTCTAATTTTCAAATTTTGTATCTTAATTTTTAAATTTTATATCTGAATATATTTCAAAATACCACCACAACATATTAGAAAAAAAAAAAAAACTCTGAAAATGTTGAGATGGAGTATTTTGAAGTAGATTCTAGAGAATGATTCATTTCTTATCTAAAATAAGCACCTAAGGCAAATACTATGAAGACGACTCCAGAGTCACCTATCTTCTTCCATTTACTATTAGAGGGAACTCTAGAAGACTACTAGTCAGACTTAAGCATTGAGCTTGCAAAGAAATGTGAAATTAGATAATTTGAGCCCTCAGCCTGTAAAAGCAAAAGAGCTATTCAGAGATCATATAAATAAGAATGTGGAATCAAAGCTTCACTCGAGAACAAATGTTACCTTCACACTGTGCCCCCAAAGCCATATGAAATATATTCATATCAGAACCACACTTTTGGGTCTGTTTTTTTACCTTTAAAATCAGGTGAAATGGATTCATTCTTTTCTAAGCAGAGAGCCTCCTCTTTCATCACCTGTTGGAATATCTTGCATTCTGGGTGGATTCCCGCAACCTCAATGAAAAAAAAAAAAAAAAAGGACAAAACAAACCATGAACTTCAGTGATTATCACAATGAACAGATCCGTGTTTCTTTCAGGTTTGTACCTCATGGTCTGAGAATGTGAAAACTCCAGACAAAGATTTTTTTTTTTTTTTTTTTTTTGTAAATAGGGTATATGCAGAGGAGGACAGACAAAGAGAAAATGAGAATGTTGTCTTGCACATATATTGATTTACATGCACACATGGGCATGGATATTCTCACAGATTTTGGGCATATCATAACAGTTGAGCTCAAGCAGCACCTTCTCTCAAAGTTAAAACGTATATCATCTTACATTTCTACCTACCTTTTTCACAAAACTTAAATGGATTTCATAACCATTGGATCTTCACCTCTTTGTCAATGAGACAAAATTGGATGAGTCCATCAGCTGCTGGAACAGTCACACTGAGTCCCTCAAACATACATAAGCCTGACCACACACTTTATTTCTTCCCTTAAAAAGACAAATAAAAAGGAAGTAATTTATTTAATCATAAAGAAGATTCCTTTAGTTAATTAGTTTGGGAGTTCAGAAGTACCTATTTGCAGAATATTCCTAATTACTCTTGGGAACACTCAAGAACCAGCTTTTCTCTATGGAAGGAATTATCCATAAGTCTGACAGTAAAGATTTAGTTACTCTCCTGGAAGGGATATCTTGTTGCTGAGACTGACAGAATGGTTTCTCAGTCTTCTTTGAGGCTTGCAGCCATCTACATATGACCTAGTTTTCTGGGCTTCCTTTGCAGTCAGTGGAGATCTAACACATCTTTCATTTGCCCTGAGATGGTGTATACCACTTGGGATGCTGTAAGGTGTCCCACCTCTCCTTCAACTGCTACTGCACCCATAATCAATACAATTCATGGTCTAGAAAGCAACTAAACTGTGTTTGAACTGATGAATTCTGCCCTATACATACACTGGTTGTAAAAAAATCTTCTACACATACAGAATCTTACATGGAACAGAGCAGTGGGTTTGCTTCTCTGCAAGTTAGGCTATTCAAAGCAAAACCTGAGGCTCTGTGGTAGCAATTTTAATTGAAATGATGGATTGAAGGCTTTCTGACACATTTCTGAGGAAGACTGAAGGCCATTCTAAGCCTTTAATGACTTTGAAAATACAGTACAGATGATAACATCCCTGCTATATTGCCTTCTCAGTCACAGGAAGTTGATTTATTTGCTTTCAGAAGCTTTTTTAGTAAGAAGTACAACCGGGACTTCTTTTAGTCTCAACAGAAACTTTGCTGGTAGTCATGTAGACCATTGCAATTTTGCAATGATACCTGCCTGGGGGGAAAAAAAAAAAAAAAACCTTTATCTTTAAAAACCTTAGAAATTCTTCTAGAAACCTACATATGTGTTCTAAAGTAGCATGGACAAACTGCTTTTAAATATGCAACCCTAGAGATCATTCATACATCCTAATATTAGAACAGAAAAAAGGAGTAACGATACTGTATGAAAAGAAAATTAAAATATGGCTTTTTCATGCATTACTCTCCTCCAGTGTGTAATTTTAAATTCCTTTTTCAAATCAGCATGAGTAACTCTTAAAACAGTACCTCTTGCTGTTCCATTATAGTAGCACAATTCTGAAATGCAATTTTTTAGATTTTAATATGTTTCCTATGTATCACTTTGTCTTGTAAAATACAGCTCAATTTCCATTCTGTCTGCAGAACAAACAACTTAAATAGCATTGACAAAGTGATTGCTATATAAACCCCTCACCATTTAAATCTATAAACATGGATTCCACTGAACAGGAAACAAGTGATTTCTTCACTTTCTATAATTTCTGGACTTTGTTGCTACTGATGAGAAACTATATTTGAAATATTCCTAGGCTTGATGGCTAGCAAGTCCACACCAGCTGAACCGACATCTCCTGTCACCATAACTCAGCACAGCTCCACCAAAATGTGTGAAATCACTGCAATTCATGTACAATATACCTGGGCAAGCAAGCATTAGACGTACCCTTCCTATAGGGCAATTGCACATTGATTTTACA